TCTGGCGGCGTGTGGCGTCTTGCCGTTTTCATAGCCCGCTGGGGTTGGGGCGCCGGTTCATGCCCAGCCGTGTACTTAGACACGGCAGGCGTGAGCGCGGGCTCCTTCTTAGGGGAAGACGATGGCTTCCTGGTGGAATCTGTGAGTAGGATTGAATTACCCTGGTCCGTTCAGGGTTAAAAAGGTCCCGATACGCGATGGGTCGGTCCAAAGCGCCTGGACGGTCTGGCGGTTTTCTTGTACTAGAGGGGGGGGGGCTCCCCCTTGTCCTTATCAGACATGGTGTCACCTACCCACCTAACTGGTGAAGTGTTTGAACGTAATCTAATAGGCCCTATCTGTTCTACCAACGACCGACAGGCAATGACGCTCGACGCGATGGCAGGGATGGCTGTAGATAATAAAGATGGCTTCGGCACTATGGCCACTGCCTACCCCTTTTATAGCAAAATGGTTGGGGGAAGTGCGATGGTGGCACTTTAAGTACCGCGACTGGGCACAGTAGGACACGAGCGTCTTAAAGTGCCTAAGAATCTGCCTAGGGGCCGGTGACCTTGACGCCTCACAGAGTAAACGGACTCAACGATCGGCGGTGTATGTCGTACCAGCGGTTGTATGCAGCCACGGCTAACTACAAACAACGCACACCTAGGAGATCCTTTGCGAACTGGGAGAGAGAATGTCATCTCCTTACGGAGGTTTTCGGGTTCGAGGAGGCCCTCTTTTCCCGGGTGTCATCGCGGGGGGACACGGCTCCCCCAGTTTTGGGTGCTGCCACGCAGCTTGTAGGTTAGAGTGTTGCGTACTTCACGCCATCAGGCCAGGTGTCGGGCATGCTCACTCGTCCCCGGCGGCTCCCTCGCCGGGCGGTGAGCGTAAGAGTTCACGTGGGAGTGGTCGCCCATCAGGTGGGCCTGCATGTAGGGGTGCCAGGTTGTGCAGGTGGGCGTGTGGCCCGTGGTCTGCGCGGTCGAACAACCGTCTCGCAGTAGGGACCACAAATTCGTGTATAGACTCGATTTTGAGGTCCCTGGCTATGAGGTCATTCCTCACATAGCGGCCTGCTCCCACGATCGCCGTGGGCGCTAGAATCTGCTGGGCTTGCAGCCTCTTGCGCTGTGTGGTTGATGTCAGCGCGTACCAGGCTGGCGCGTAAGTCAACCGTGAGCGGACGCAGGTTTTATAAACAGATGTTTTTGTTCTATGCGGGAGTTTGAATGTCAGTATTGGGTATAATTTCGCTCGTGCGACTCTGGCCTGGACCACAACGTGGTCGACCACAGGGGTCATTCGCAACGAGCGATCAATCTAACATCCTAGGTAGGTGACAGTACCTTTCCACCCTACGTCCTGCCCACGGAGTCGCAGGGTTGGTAGGGTGCGTCGCAGCCTGGTCGCGAAGGCGGTGGTCTTCCCGACATTGACCGCCATCCTCACTCTGTCCAGCCAATCTGGCAGCACATCCAGCAGTCTCTGCAGCTTCTTTGACGCGAGTTCTACCCGACGAGATGACGTGAAGTACGCACTGTCGTCTGCGTATAACGCGAGCACAACATCGTCCTCCCACTCCTCCAGGTGACCTTGGAGTGTGGGACTGTCGTTGGTGTACACCGCGTATAGGTGGGGTGATAGGCAGCCTCCTCGATGTTAACATAGAAGCTCCGCCCCTCCAGGAATGACGCTATTAGCCGCACAAGCATTGGCGGCAAGGTGGTGGTCTCTATTAACTTGTGAAGTAGCCCTGCGTGCCACACTCTGTCGAAGGCCTTCTCTATATCTAAGAAGACCCCCACACAGATGCGGCCGCGGTTGTGCTCGGCCGCAAGATAGTGCAGCGCGCGGGCCAGTTGGGCTGTGATGGAGTGTGCTCTGCGGAAGCCAAATTGTTCCTCCCGCAGAGCAACGTGCGGTAAGATGCGATGGAGGGTAATTTTTTCAAAGAGTTTGGCTATATGCGGTAATAGCGTTATGGGGCGGGTACCTCCTATCCTTACCCGGCTTTGGTAGCACGACTATCTTGCCCTGTTGCCAGTTTGTTGGGAAGTGGCCAGTTCTTAACACGCCGTTGAAAAGTCTGGCCACCTCCACAACATCCCTTCTGGGCAGCTGCTTCAAGGCCATGGTGGTAATGCCGTCGTAACCCGGTGCTTTGCGGTTAGGTAGGCGCATGATCGCGCGCCTTACCTCCGCAGGCGAGATGAAGTCCGCGCCTTGCAATGGTGGTGTCGGGTGCGACAGGTATTCCCGTACGCGGTTCTCCACCCTCGTACCCCTCTGCAATGGGATTAGGTGTAAACTGTGATTAAAGGTGCTGTGCCATCATTCCCGCCTTCTGCTGGGCATCGTAGATTCTTTTTCCCGTGTTGTCCACTAGTGGGCAAACAGGAGGTGGTTTTTTGGTAAGGTGCCGGTTGAGGAGGTGCAGGGAGGCGGGTGTCTCCGAAGCTTCGTCGATTCGCCTCTCCCATACCTCTCCGCTGTGCGCTCTAATCGCTACCGACAGCTCTTCTGTTGTTCTATTTAGTTGGGTTTTAATATGTGGGCACCGTGTTCGTGCCCACAGCTTTTTCAGCTTTCTTTTCTTAGAAAGCTGAAGTTGTAGTTTATGAGGGAATTCCTCCCCCCGGCGCCCCGTGGAGACAGGGTGTGTGGAGAGTCCCAATTGTTTGTTTAGAGTGGCGTGTAGAAGCAATGCCGCTGTCTCCACGTCTTCTTGGGTGGTAATGGAGGCGCCGAGTCGGAGGTCCTCCAGTGCTTTTCGGAAGCGTGCCCAGTTCGTCCGCATTTTTGGACCTCTGGGCACTACTGCGTCCGCATCGGTGTCTATAGTGAACAACACGGGGAGGTGCTGCGTGTCCAGATCATACAGCACAACTAGCCGTATCCTGAACGGCATTTGATGACACAACAAAATGTCCAGGACATCCAGTTGATGATTGGGATTGGAGGGGATGTGTGTGGGCTCATCTGGACCCAGTACCTCATATCCTTCTTCAGCGTGTTCGAAGAGTTTCTTACCACGAGGTGTGATTATCGCGGAGCCCAGAACAGGATGTTTTGCATTGAGGTCTCCGGCGATAATTGCAGGTGTTGTTGCATTGAATATAGTACTTAGATCCTGGGGGGCTAATGAGGTACCAGGAGGTCGGTAAGCGGCGAAGAACCTCATATCCGTGGTTCCCACCCTCATCCTTATACCCTTGGTCCTCATGGACACGAAGTCATATACAGTGTCAACTTCCTCGTGCATGACGTCCCTCCTCACAAGGGCCGCAGTACCTCGACACCTTCTGGGGAGATCTCGTCGTGACGATACACGAGGAAGTTGGGAAGCTTTAGTTGTGCAGAGGGGTTCAGTTTGGTTTCTCCCAGCAGCACAACCTGGACTTTGTGCTGCTGTACCAATTTGCGCAGTTCGTCGACCTTCCCTGTAATGCCGCCGGGTTCCAGTTTACTATTTTAATTGCCCTGCCCTCTGCTGATGTTCGTCAGTTGGCTAAGGCAGTAAGGGTTGCCGCTCGGTTGGGTTGTTACCTGTGGTCATAGCAGTTAGGACCTCTCCCAGGATTTTAATGACCATACCCACTAGCTGTGCGAGGGCCTCTTCTATGGTGGATGGTACATTATGTATTTGTGGTCAGGATCTGGGCTCTACTGTCAGTCTTTGGAGTGGCTCTAGGGGTTGGTGGGTAGTTTGCACTCTCTGGATTTGAGCAGGAAGGTCGCTTGGCGCGGCTGCTGTGGCCACTGCTGCGGGGTAGCAATGGGGGAGGAAGTGGGGTAGACGTGCCTACTACTGCTACATCCAGTGTGGCCGCCTTCTTCTTCTTCTTCCTCCCTTTCCTCTTTTTCTTTGGACGCTCTATGCGCTCAATGGGGTCGTTTGCCGGTACTGCCAAGGTCGCCCCAGTTATGGCGACCGTTGGCGTAGGTGCGGGTGTGAGTAGTTGTTGTTGCTGCGGCTGTTGCGGCTGCTGCGGCTATGCGTATGCATGGGTATGCATTTGCGGTTGTGGTTGAAAATTTTGATGTTATGGTTGTGGTTGAGGGGCCCGTGCTGCTTGCGTGGGCATTGGGGGCTGTAAGACTATGGCCCTCTTGCGTGAAATACGCTGCAGCACAGGGCACCGCCTGTCGTTTGCCGCGTGAGCCTTAGCGCAATTTGCACATTTCGGCTGTTCGTCACACGGCTTGAGGCATTCAGATGCTGCGTGATCGCCTGCGCAGCGGACGCTTTTTATAGGTCTATAGCAATTATAAGACGCATGCCCGAACCATGGCATCTATGGCATTAGGGAGAGCCGGTTCTACCTTGCCAGCCCTCTATTGAGATGCCGGGCATGTAGAGCAGCTCGTCTATTGCATATAGCCTTTTTAATTCTTCAGGAGGGAGGTGATTCATTTTTACGTGAAAGAGGCAGCCTGGTCTGCCTCTTTTGGGGGGAATTGAGCGCACGAACGTCACCGGGAAACCTTTCTCGATGAGGGCCTCCATGATGTCTTGTGGCTCGGTATCGGCTGGGAGCCCTCTGAGCTCTACCTTCGTTGGCTGTTCATCCTGTGGAGCGTAGCAATACCACGCAAAGATAGCATCCTTTTTGCTACGCTCAATGAGGTATCTTTGGGTGGTACGGTATTCCTTATCGGATTGTGGCCGGAACCTGACTCCCTTCCCAAATGGGCGGGTGTTAGGAGCATGGCCGAGAAGTTAATGTAGGATTTTAAAATGCCTCGCTCAATTTGGGAAGCATTCTACTATTATTGGAGGGTATTTTACTTGTGCTGCTGCAGGCTGCTGTGGCCTTGTAGCAGGTGGTGGTGTGGGCGAAGGTGGGGCTGTTCTAGGCGCGGCAGCTACCAGTGCATAGCTGTCCGACGCCGAGGATGGTCCAGGAGTGGGTTCAAATGTCATTTCCTCTTGCACTGAGGCAAGGGTGGCGTAAGATGTGCTATCAGAGGGCTTCTCCCCTTCCGGGTCCTGCTCTCCGAATTCCTGCATCTCAGATTGCATGCAGGTTGGGGAGGTAGTGGGAGATGGTGACTACGGTGGCGCAGGTTTCTGCGGTGGTGTAGGTGTGTCTTTCGAGGCGGAGGCAGAAGTTGAGGCTGATGCCGACTCGGATACCGAGTCCGAACCGGCCTTCAGCCTTTTCTCCTCCTGCAGATCTTCCTCTTCCAATTCTGGGGGTACGTCTTCGCGAGGCGATGTTCCGGCGAGATAGTGGTGCCGGTTCGGCGATGGGTAGAGGCTCAGTTCTACTAGCGCCGAGTGCGACGCCAGTGGCCGGTGGGCTTCCTTTACGCCTCGGGATTTGGCTGTATGCGGGCAGTACTCGTGACTTCTCTGGAGCTAAGAGATCACGCTCCATGAGAGGCCTATCTAGCACGCCCGGTTGCCTATCTGGTGGTTTACGGCGAGTCGGGGGTGGTTCTCCTTTTTCCGACATAACGTGGGTAGTTATATATACTTCGGTATAAAAATAGGGTAGTTATAAAAAGATTTTTTTAAAAGGGTAGGTTTAAAAATTAAATTTTTTTTAAAAGTGGGAAGGAATTAAAACTTTGCCCTTGCTAGCTATCACACACCTTACTCCCCTCGGCTAGCGTACTTTACTTTGTTAACGCTTTTTAAAATAAAAAATTAAAAACAAAAATGTGGGTAGTTCACACAGAAAGTAGGGCAACAAAAGTTGGGTTCTCTGTGCTCACTTACCTTATTAATCCGTCTAGGAGAATGCCAGCGACGCCTCAACGCCTCACGGAGTGATCTCAACGTTCCGGCGGAGTCGTCATCTGGAAACACGTACACTTTATTTACAATACACGGAGCGAATTTAGGCACATCCGCTCGCTAGCGCGGTCCGAGGCGAACTGCGAAGTGGGAATCACTCACCATAGGGGTGTGCTTTTCTAGCTGTACTGTAAAGTAGGCTATGTGCGAATAGTCTCCTATCTCGCGCGCATTTTTCGTTATCACATTTCTCTTTTTGTAGAAATAACTTTATTATCAACAAAGACATACAAAAATCAAGCTTATTCAAAAGGAACACATAAGATTACATAATAAAAACAACAAAACATATACATTCATAAAATTTTAAGCATTATACGTCATTTACGTCTAATCATGCGTGTCGTACACCTTAAAATCTTAAATATTAATCTTTATTACAACTTATGTTAACAAATATTGTTCAATTTACAAAGGTCTTACCATAATTAACACTTATCTTAAACAAATAGACATCTAAGACATAAAACAAAGCTTTAATCGCATTTTTAAAACAAAGTTGTAAGCAATTTTTATCTATAAAATATGATAATAGGCTATCGTCTTCTCACTCTTAGCAATAGCTATTCTTGTTTTTCTTTTAATATACATGTTTACTACTCTAACATTGTATTATCTCCTCCTTTCCATGAAAACGATGAAAGTTTTTTAGAACTAATAATAGCATACAATATTTTAAATTATTTTAATCATTTATCACTTCGGTTCGTGTTGCTTAACCGATTGTTACGTAACACATGGCTTTTAGTTAAAAATAATTGCACACATCCTTTACTTCATTCACATGACATTCATACATTCACACACTGTCTTAAGGTTCGGGGGTTAGCCTTTCTACATAAATATTGGTTCATTCATTTTGTGCTTACGACGCTAACGAGTACCATTTTCTAAAGTTAGAGTTCGCGTTGCATATTTGACAGGTAATTTTTAGGTCTGCCATAACAATAAAACTCTTAATTTTTTCTGTTCGTTATTCATTTCCCTCGTGTAATTAATAGTACCCGGATAACCGAACTTTACTCGTTTTTTTTTTGAAATTACATTTAGATACAAATTACATACTGATGAATAATATTTTTTGATCTTATTGACATAATAGAAAAAACTGAACTGGTTATTTGAATAAAAAAATCATGAGTGCAATTAGTTTAATTAAAATTTTCGTATTTTTAAAAAATACTAAAAAAAGGGCTTGAAATAATAGATTGTCTCACAAAAGAAGGGAACTTGAAAAAAAAAAGGAAAAAAATTGGACCGAAGACAGTACGCGACCACGGTATTACGATTTCGCGACCGCTCGATATCCACTTGAGCTATTACGATCATTAACACAGAGTCAAAATTTACCTTCTTATATTGTAGCAGTTTTTCATTGCCTGAAAACACGGACAAAATGACATTTTCTAAAAAATAAATCCTAGCTAGATCGATTTATTGCCCCGAAACTCTCTGGACACAAAATTTTATGAAAATCGTTGGAGCCGTTTCCGAGGAAAAAATGATTTAGACGATTTTGATATGGGCGCTACATATGTTTTACCTCGCGAAGAAAGAGATTACTACCATAAATAGACTTTGGTTGGAAATGAAAGCTGATATTTGTTTTAAATATGGCTACAATTAGAAAATATACTATTCCAAATTAAAAGTATTGATAGAATGCAGTGATATTGGACAGCAAAATATATTCTAAGACTGCGCTAGGCTAATAAAAGGCTTACAAAGTTTGCATGGACTCTTAATTTTGTTCTTGATTATAAATTTTATGTTATACCATCTTTGTTTTAAAATACCCTTTTAGAAATTCATTATAGACAGAATATCAGTGGTTAAATTTCTATATGATGGACTTCCAGAGATGGAGATTACTAGTTATTTTTTATGCATTCCTGTGATATGGGTATCACATGAAAGGGTTTGCTGAGAAAAATACAGAAAAAAGTAAACCGTGTATTTTAGTTTTTTTTTAAACCAATAGTATTTGTCTCGTACCCGCTGGCATAATTAAAAAAAATTCAAATGGTTATTAACTAATAATTTATATTAACTTAAGTCTTACCGTAGAATAATATAAATATATGAAACTTACATTCAAGAAATATATTTATTAGGAGGATCGCAGCAACAAATATAGGGTTTAATGAATAAGGCTTTGTAAGTTTAAGCTTAACATTAGAGTTGTTTAACTGAGCTTTGGTAATCAATTCGGTCATGTATGTATAATTTGCACTGACCTCTATATATACAAGTGTATATATAGAGGTCAGTGATAAATTGATATAATTATATAATTCCAGTAATAAGATTATATGAAGGAAATAATATAAGTTAAGATGGCAACATTAAGTACACCACCAGTCGCGCGTAGAGTTATTTTCAGTGTTGCCACTTTAGCGACTTTGTCGCTAAATCTAACGAGTGTTTTGTTAAGTTGGGGAGTTTAATTCAATGTTTAGCGACAAAAAATATTCTGGCGACTTTTTTTTTTTTTTTTTTTTTAATTTATTCAAGGCAACAAACAGTCATGTAAATAGATAGTAACATGGATAAATAATAATACAACTAAAGACCTATAGTGCCTGTAACTAAACTTTTACAATATTTTAAACTTATTGAGCTACTTTTAGGACTAAAGGACATTATAAATTTATTTATTTATTAATACACTAAGTTCTAATATGAGGTATCTAGTTAACATTTCGTGTGCAATTAAGAAAAAGAAAGAGAAAAAAAACTTATGTTAAAAATATGGTTATTATAACACTGACAAATTTAGTTCAGATTCAATTAGCGAATTGAGTGCTGCCACATTTTCAGTGAAGGGTAAATAGATTATTAACAAGCCAAACTTTGAAAGAGAGCAGATTTAAGCTTTGATATTGATGTATTAAATAAATCAATATCTGTGAATTTTTTATTGTAAGTGTTAGTGGAACGATACACAAATGAGTTTCGCGTATAATTTTTATGATATCGGGGGAGTTACGAAAAGTGGTTTTAGACGTGAGGGGCGCACAGGCAGACGGACTCGGGAAACAAATGACAATCTGCTAAGTAACAACGAGGAGTCGACTAGGTTATTAATGATTTTGTATAGAAATACTATGTCAAACATTTTACGCCTATTGCAAAGAGAAAGTAAATTGTATTTTTTTAGTGAATCGGTGTATGACTGGTTTAAAATATTTTGGCGATAATTTAGGGATTTAATAAACAATTTTTGAACTCTTTCTATTCTCCTAATATGAACTTCATAACAAGGGCTCCAAACAGTGCTGCAAAAATCAAGGAAAGATCTGACAAAAGAGAAGTATAAAATTTTTAGAGTTTCGGGACGTTTAAAAGGTTTACTTATTCGTAGTATAAAACCTAGATTTTTAAAAGCCGAAGCTAATATGTGCTCAATATGTGGAATAAATGATAAGGTCGAATCCATGATTATACCTAAGTCCCTGATTGTGGTTACTCTATTTAAGACCTTCTGATTTATGTGGTAGTCGAAAGTAACGGGATTTTTTTTTGCGAGTATACGATATTATGTAGCATTTATCGCTGTTTAGAAACAGATGGTTAAACTCACAGTATGCATGTAATCGGTGTAAGTCTTCTTGGAGTTTGTGGCAGTCAGTAATTGATCTGATGATTCGATACAACTTAGTGTCATCAGCATACAAGAGATGGTGACTATGTTTCAGGACATTGCCAATGTCATTTATATAGACTGAAAACAGTAAAGGCCCAATATGAGACCCTTGAGGTACACCCGAAGGGACTGGAAGAAATCGTGACGAATAACCCTTTACAAAGACTGCTTGACTCCTATTACTTATGTAGGATTGGATCCATCTGAGAAGGCTGCCATGCACACCGGCCCTTGCAAGCTTCTTTATTAGCAGATCGTGATTTATTTTATCGAAAGCTTTGGAAAAGTCGGTGTACACGGCGTCCACCTGTAGGTTATCATCCATGGCATGCAACAGAAAGTCATTAAAAGTTAACATATTGGTGTCAACGCTACGGCACTTAAAGAAACCGTGTTGTTCCTGGGAAATGTGATTACGGAAAGAGTACGACATTTGAGCGGTTACTATCTTTTCTAGGATTTTGCCAAAGATACAAAGTTTCGATATAGGTCTGTATTCGTCTATACATTCACGTCTTTTATTTTTTGGAATGGGGGTTACTAAAGACTCTTTCCATAAAATGGGAAATGTCCCAGTTTGGACAGAGAAACGAAATATGATTGTAATGGGTGTTGCAAGTTCTTCGGCACATTCGGATATGAGAAGAGGATGGATCCCGTCGGGCCCTGCACCTTTATGAATATTTACTTGTTTCAGTTCTTTGATAACATTATCGTGGTAGATGTTAATAGAATGTATATCTACGGGTGAACTGCCTGAGTAAGAAATAGTATTATCAGAACTTTGACGGGTAGAAGGGATGAAAACTGAATGAAAATAATCATTAAAAGCCTCGCATATTTCACGGCCAGTGGAAATAATTTTGTCTTTATATATCATTTTTTCAGGAATGCAACTTGAAGCTTTTTTTGACTTTACGAAAGACCAAAATAACTTTGGACAGGCTTTGATATTATCCTCAGAAAGTTCAATGAATTTTTTGTAACATTCTGCCTCCATCCTCTTAAACCTCTTCCGAAGACAAGAGAAGGTCTGGTAGTCTCGTAAGTTGTTATAAAGTTTCCATTTCTTATGATATTTAAGCTTTTCCTTTTCTAGTTTTATGAGACAAGAAGTAAACCACGGCGGGCGTTTGTTTGCGCTACAAAGGTTTTGAGTAGGTACATATGTGTCTATCAAATTGTTTAAAATTTTATAAAAATAACTCGTCATTGAATCAATATCCGTCATGGTATTAAAAACTTCCTCCCAGTTAACAGTGTTAAGTCCAGTTTTTATCAAGCCAAAGTCAGCATTATGAAAGTTTTTTTTCTTAATTTTGGCGGAGGGTAATGGGGCGGGGGATTTTAAATTCAAACTAATTTCTAGGGATTTGTGGTGCACGTCTTCGGGTACTAACGGAAATTCAGGACGCATAACATTACATGTTGTATTACTAAAAATTAAATCTAATAATCTATTATTAATATTAAATTGATTGTTGCATTGTAATAGTGACGATATATTCATAAAATCGGTAGTAAGACATGCGAGACTACTAATGTTTGTACGTATTTCCATGCAATCACTATAAGAATTAAAATACCAGTCAGCGTAAGTGACGTTAAAGTCGCCCAGTATTAGATAAGTATCGTCGGGATTTGAGATTATAAAATCGCTTACTCTGTTATAGAACGATGTCAATTGTGATTCGTGGTTACAACCGTGGGGTATATAAGTTGCTATAATATGTAAGCGGCGCTGGGCCGGCGATCGAGTATTAGACTCGTGCGATGACGTCACGCAGCCCGCATGCGACAATGTTTCAATTAATGGGATAGATAACCAAACCTCTTCTGCCTGCATCGGCGAGCACTCGTGATGGAGCTGCGACGGGCATAGGCTGCGCCGCACTGCGATCAGTACGCCGCCACCCATCCCGCGACCGCTAACCGTAACGTTGCGATCACATCGGTAAACCTCGTATCGACTGTCGAAGTATTCACTGTCATAAAAATTACTATTAAGCCATGATTCAGTGACACATACCACATCATAATTGTTACACAGAACATTCTTCAGAAAATCGTGTGATTTTGTGCGTAATCCTCTCACGTTTTGGTAGTAAATAGACAAGTTATTTTTATAAACCACTATATAGAATATACGGCAAAGTGATATCACAGAATGAAATATTATGGGTTCCACTAACATTCACAAATAATAGAAGACAGCAATAACAGTATTTAAAGTTTCGTGAGAAATATATTTTACAACACTTTTTAATAGGTAATGTTGTCTTAGTATATAAGTATTTGTAACAAAAAAAAATTCCTTTCAAGACATTAAAATAGATAACGACATACAGTCATTTAATTTTACTTAGATCCGCATGGCATGATATAAGTTGAACTTTAGACGTATCATTTTTACGCAATAAAATCTTACAGTCAGACAACCACACGTATTTGTATTCTTTCTGTTTGGCAAGAAGGCGTGTTTGTTTGTATAATTGTTTGTTGTGCGGCGCGAGGTGGTCATTGACGTAGATGGGACCGGTGGGCCCGCTTAGACCTGCGTCAGCAGTTGTTATTCCTCGTCGCGCGCGCACGGCACTCAGCAATTCGTTCTTGCGATACCTTTGTGAGAATCTGATGATAATGTTCGGTATGGAAGATGAGTCTTGAGAGGTACTGCTATCGTGTTTTCTGGGGATTTCGTTCCTCGTCGAGTTGAAACGTCGGACACGGTGAATATAATCAATATCTGTTGGCAATAATGTAAAACCGACCTTTGTAGCGATATTATGTATAATATTATTTAAATTTTCGCCTTTTAAGAGTGGTATCCCAGAAATTTCCACGTTATTAATCCTCCCAAGCTGCTCCTTCGCTTTCAGCTGGTCAGTAAGGTTAGTTGTAATGGATCGCAGCTCGGAAATCTCGCTTGAAACTAAATCAACACGCTGGGTAATTGAAGCTGTTGTGGAACTCAACTCGCAAACATCTTTTATCACAATAGCTTGTTCGTCAGCCAATTTTTTTATTGAAGAGTTTACATCACTAATCTCTTTCTTAAATGAATTGATGTCCTCGCGAATGCCATTCAAAACACCCTTTATGGTATTGTTTTGAGAATCCAGCTTTGCTGTGAGCGTGGTCATCATTTTATTACAAAAATCATCCATGAGTTGCTGTTGGTTGCAGTGACAGTCGGGCGTTTTCCTTTTTCTTGCAGTTATATTTAGGAAGTCACCGTCGCTTATCTTCGATAAATCCGGCTGTGAGTTGGTTTTGGTTGGACTCCTTTGTACGCTCATATTATCAGGTGTTGCGAGAAAGGAGGTAGGTAGCAAATCCAAGCGAGGAGCGAGGAGTGTGGAGCAAACACTAAAGGTGTGAATGAAAAGTGTGCACACTCGTCACTTCTACTTCGCGCGATGTCTGTATCGAAGACCGTCGAAAACTTCCGACAGAGTAGAGACAGGGACGGAGGACCGGTCCTCTCAAACGTCACACGCGATAAGGTCTCAAGCGAATTTCACTCAGAATGCACAATTACAGAGAATTCAAAATTATTTAGTAAAGTTACTCTAATCGGACAATATTGCGGCACACGTCCAGCCTAGAAGGCGCTCAGAATAAGACAATTTTATATTTTAAATTTTATATTTTCAATTTTATATTCAGAATAAGACTTTTAGCGACATTTGCACTTACTTCAATTTTTGTTACCATCTGACTACTTTAGGCGTAAGGAATACTATACTCTATCCGTTAAAGAAATAATAAAATGTAAAGGAACCGAAACAAAGGTTCTCTGGATGTCGCTTATACAATAATAAACACATTAAGAGAAGCACAACTACATTCCATCACCTATCCTATTACAAATAAATCACTTAACATGTACAACATTATTATGCTCATATTGCTTGTATACAATATGTAACAAAAAACCCTGTGATTCCCGTTAAGTGTGTTATCAGAATCGGTATCCGAGCGTATAGAAATATTTTTATTCAAAAAAAAAACATTAAAAAAAATTAATAAAAAAAAATAATTTTTAAATTTTATGTGGTTTTATTTCCTCTAACTCACACGAGTATCGGTAAAGCGGGGTCTATGACAATCTTCTTACTCCTCGGCCAATGCAAAGATATTAAAAAGACATACATACATACATACATTCTTGAATGTAAGTTTCATATATTTATATTATTCTACGGTAAGACTTAAGTTAATATAAATTATTAGTTAATAAGCATTTGAATTTTTTTTAAATTATGCCAGCGGGTACGAGACAAATACTATTAGTTTAAATTTGTTTAATATGCTTAGGTAGGGCTCAAACTAAATAAAGCAATAAAACAATTTTCTATTAGCAGAGCTAATTCTCCATTTGTTTTTTGTAAAAAAAAAAGCTTTTCCATTCTGCTTTAGAGGCTTATATTAATTTTTTATTAATACGAGTATAGGAGAAGTCATAATTAATATTGCTTCGGCAAAGTTACGAATATTTGGATGTCTTTCACCATTATCGAACTTAGGTCTCTTATACACAATACAGTTTCACGGTACGTTGCGTAAAATAAAGCAATAAAATATAATTATTTAATAAAGCAATAAATTAAGCAATAATTTTTTTATTTTATAGTGCGTGCAAGATAACCAGTGTTGCCACATTGAATTACAAAAAAAGTCCCCAAATGTCGCTAAATTTAATTTTATTAAAAAAACGCGATATAAAGATAAAGTTGAACAATATATTCATTCACAGACACACACACACACACACACACACACACACACACACACACACACACACACACATATATATATATATATATATATATATATATATATACATCATCCGTACGGACTTCCACGTGGAAATTAGTGAGAATAGCTTCCCGCGATCTCAAAAAACTAGATTTTTGAAAATCGGGTTGAAACCTGTGAATTTTTGAAAATTTTCAATTTTCTTAGCGGGAAATTAAAACCTACTTCTCGTTTTTCGATTAATCTGAGACTTTGCATAGTCTAGAGCACGTGTAGTTCGGATGACAATACATGGTTAGATAAATGACGTCATTTCAAATTTCTATATGATGGACTTCCAGAGATGGAGATGGCTAGTTATTTTTTATGCATTCCTGTGGTATGGGTATCAAATTAATTATGGTATGGGTATCAAATAAATTAATATGCTTAGGTAGGGTTCATAAGTTTTTTGTTTAAATATTAAGAATATTATTAATAGCATTAAATATTTAAGTAATTTTTACTTTCAATTTTACACATAGAAATTACGAGAACTTTATCGCCGGACGTTTGTCGTTCATGTTTTATCGTTTATGCGATGATTAAAAGTGTATTTTGGCATGTAAAAGTTATGTGTTTTTGTGTGTAAAATGTCTACACGTGTGATCTATTGGTGTAAGCGCTGAAATAAGTGATTTGATGTTGACACTATTTAAGCAACCGACACCTATAATATATATACATAGTTACGTTATCCGCTTAGGCGCCTCAAAAACTTGAAATGCTATTGTCGTTGACTATCTGTTGTCTTAGGCTATCGTTGAGATCTGCCAACAATTACCTAATAACACGCATCTATAATATATTGTGGGGAAGTTAGTGAACAAATATTACTATTTTTTTATGTATAACTTCATATTACTCACAAACTAATAAGAGTACTAACGTAATATTACGTGACACTGGCGAAAGTGTTACCGTAGGTGTCCAGTACTAAAGAAAAAAAAATGTGATTGACGTGGTAAAAAATGAAAATGGCAAGCGAGAAGTGCCAGGTGGTGGCAAAATATTTTGTTTACGATCTCTTGTTCCACGTATTTTTCTTTTGTGTTCAGATAATTTGTCATTAAATTATTGTCGTGGGCAGAAAATTAAATACATTAATGTACTTTGCTATTGAAAGGACATGTCTGACTGTAAAAACGTCGATAATCATCCCGAAAAGGATGCAATGGATGCCCCTGATTCCAATTTAGCAGTAACGTCAAGTGAAGTGTCCAGTGTTGTTGGAAGTGTTAAAAATAATAAGGTGAAAGCTAATGCATGAAGCATTCTCTTATTCTTTATATAGCGTAATATTTGGTGATGGATATTTGTTAACCGTCACCATCATTAATTAAGGATAGCCCGTGCTATTCTTTGGTCTTTTGGTAACTTTATTCAGTGTAGTTTTTTGTTTACTACTCTAGATTCCATAAAATTAAAAAAAAATATAGGGTTCACCGGTATACCCACCATTGACAAACCATATTATATTATACAATATAAATAATATACAATAATACAATAATTGCAACAATCATAGCACAAAAATATTCTCTTATCTACCATATATAATCTTATTCAGATTTTCTTAATAGCTATTAAGTTTAATTTTATTTAAAAATTAATGTGGCAAGTCTTGATGTGCCTTTAGATGTGTTTTAGTTATGATTACATGATTGCCAGAAGTAAGGCTACCAAATGTAAAAAAAAATGATGGGAATTTCAAAAGAAGCTTAATGTTTAGGTTTGAAGATTAAAATGGTCTACTACTGGTTCCATACTGGAATATTGACACAAAGTTACTTTTGCAACGGCTTCGGCACTGCAGAAAGTGCAGCCCCTTTGCCCTTGCGTAGCAAATCACAAGCACCCATGCTCGCCTCCGCAGCATCGGCTCATTGGTCGCCGCTAGGCACCTGCAATTTGCTACAGCGGGCGGGGACTGCTCTCCCTCCGTGCCTATGGCTTTCCAAACCACTCTAGGTGTAGGGTAGACAAGACTACATGATGTCGGGGCATGCTAATTCAGTTTTAGAACCAAATCGACCAATAGTATCTATAAAGTCAGGTTGCTCTAAACTCTGCTATGATAGTGGTAATTTAAATAATGTTATGTGAATAGTTATAATTTTGTTTTCTGAAAAACCTCTTGACTGCTCTCCACTGCAACTCAATTTGTTGTATATGAGCCCTGCCTTCAGCCACAAATGGATAATTGGGGTCCGAGTGATTAACTTTTTTATGAGTATATCTGTGTTAAAAAAACAGACATATTTGTGTTTCGTTATATGCAATTTTCAGTGAAATTTATTTTTATCATAATTCAAAAGGGATTTCCAAAATCCAAAAACAATGGAAAAGGTTGGAGCTTAACCCTGACAAACCTCCTAAATTGGAAACAATATTAAAAAATTAAGAACCGGACGTCTACTTCATTAATATGAGAACAAATTGACATATTTTCGTTTTGTTATAACCAATTTTTAGTGATATTCTTTTATCGTAATTAATTCAAAACGCATTTCCGACATCCAAAAACAGTAAAAGATTCAAGCTTAACCCTGACAAGCCTCCTAATCTGAAAACATAATTAAAATCAAGTACCGGATATCTATAGCTAACCCTATTTATTCATTCTTTTGAAATTCCCTATTACAAAAGAATACAAAGGGCGGACTTAAAGCCATGAAGCATTTTCTACCAGTCAACCCATGGAGTGGTGAGAATTTTATGTAGGTGTAAGTGAGAGTAAAAAATCAAAACAATTACAGAAAATTATTTCACATATTGGAATGCAGCTTAAAATTATTTCTATCATACATTTTTTTGTTATGAATATTTTGAAGTCATAGTAGCTCAGGTCATAAGCTCTTGCCATAATATATTATATAATGTCATTTTATTTATGCAAACCAAGTTTGATCCGCCAGCACCAATAGCAGTGTGTCAGTATATTGATTTCTTATATTTACACAAATACAATACATTAGGTCCCATGTTTGTCAGGGACTTATAGCTCCTATTTTTATGTATAACTATCAATATAAAAATTTGACAAATAAAAACGATAATAATTAAAAGAAACTTTCAATGAATTATAGAACTGTTAATGATTTATGTGTTCTAAGAATGTTACAAATTTATTATAAGCAGGAGTCAAAGTCATGTTCCATATTTGCTTTAGGAAAGAGTTTATACTGTTTACACAGTAGTATCATTAAACTATTTTTTTTTAACTTATATTGATTTTATATTTTTAGCATTCTACATCATCAGAACGGCAGATTAAGTTTGAACGGGCCCAAAAGTGTCTGGAGAATGCTGCGCTTGTATCCAAGCGTATTAAGGAGCATAGAAAAGCAACAGCAGAACTTTTGGGAAGACCTTTTGGTATGCTGCTTTATGCAAATCAAATATATTTGTGTAAAATAACAATTAATAGTTTTTATCACATATACTATTATACCACTTTATAACTGATTGATTGGAGCATGATAATTGAAAAAAAATTTTTCCTGCGAAATGAATAAATTCGGGGTCGTGTGTATGTTCGCTATTAATATAGGCAAAACATTAACTTGTCGCAACCTGACAGTAGCTGGTGGGTCGTTGTCAAAGATAGCTAACGTAACTAGCGTACATGTAAGTACATTACTTTCTCAGACTTTACATCGTATGATGACTGATTTTTTGAAACAAGCATGTTTATGTTAATAATTATACTAAACAATATATAACAATATATTAGTCATTAAATATTTGACTAATTTAAGTTTTTAATTTGTTGATCTCAATTAGTTCCTATGTCAATTGTTTTTAAGTTCAGAAAAGATGAACGCTATGTAAAATTAAAAGAGTTGCTATTTAGATTATGTTTCTGTTTAGAATTTTTATTTTGCTAGATATTATATTGAATATTATATAAATAAGTACAAAGGCATAGATATTGTTGAAACTGTAAAATAATTTAATAAAAAATAAACTTGTTCACGCACGTTTGTTTAGGCATGATTTTAACAATTTGCAACCTGCGACGGCGCCTCCTATATTCCGCCCTTCAGGGATCTGCTGCGGTTCTTGGAGGAGCAGTGCAGGTAGATTGAGAACGCAGCGTTCACCATCGGCGACCTACGGACTGCCAACCGAATCGTGCCCAGGGAGAGGCAGAACCCCCGGGCAAGTCTTCTTCAAACCCCCTCAGAACGAGCGGAGCTCCCGCGGGAGGGCGCCGCCCCCTACCCTCTTATAGTGGCCTAGTGGCCAGGGAGGCGCCCCCCTGCTGCTACTGTCGAGCATCAGATCACCGGGTGACGATTTGCCCGAAATTCTTAGGTAAGCCTGTCCTAGCGAGACGAACCATCGCCAAGGAGCACCGCCGGTGCTACTCATGTTTGGAAAGGCACCTCCAACGAGACTGCCCGCACTGCCAGAGCAATCACCACGCCGTTTTGTGCCTGGTTGCGAACGGCGCTCCTCTCGGGGCGCTGCCGGGCCCTCATCCCCCACGGGCGGGGGCGCTCAGCCACGCCCTCTGTCGGGCGACGCTTGTCGCTCTCCTGCCGGCAACCTTGCCCCTGGTTTTGGAGGGGGTCCCTCCCACGACCAGTCGGGGGGGTCGTTCCCTCAGGGGTGGGGGGGTTCGTCACCCCCCCCTCAGCGGGTTGAGAGGAACTTTACGGCCATTCAGCGGTCAGCGAGACCCTTCTCACCCCCGTTGGCTGAGAGGCCGCGACTGGAATGCCCTCTCCCTTTGGTCGGTACCGGTACTGCGGGGTTCCTGCGACCTCGAATCTGTCCCGGGCCTCAAGGCCGAGGTTCCCCAAAGCTCCCCAGGTCGGCCCCATCGGTGATTTCCACCCACGGGTCAGTAAGATGCCGCCGGAATGCCGCTTTCCGGACCGGCTTGAGTGCCGGTCCGATGGAGGCAGCTCCAGCTAGGAAGCTGCCGCCCTAGCTCCCACCACGGCCGCCTTCACTGATCCTTTGAGCCGTCCACAGTCCACTTGTCAAACTTTTCTATTGCCGACGGCCTCAGTGAAGGTGTACAACCCGAGTGGCGACTGTTTAACCGTTCGCGCTCTATTGGATTCGGGTTCACAACGCTGTGTGGCCTCCACTCGGTTGGTGAGAAGACTGGGGCTCCCCTGGTGCTCTGAATCACGTCCAATGGTAGGTATCGGAGGTGCCGAGCCTCCTGCTCCAAGGGGACAAGCGAAGCTGCTGTTTGGTCCTGCAAGCGAACACCTTCATATCTTAGTTAAGGTAAATGTCCTCGATGACATTGTAAGTTTTCTCCCTAACGTCCGTATAAATGACAGCGCGGTTCGTTGTGCGTCGGGCTTGAGACCGGCAGACCCTCAATGGTCCCAACCTAGGCCTATAGATTTGTTGCTGGGGGTCGACGTGCTGGGGTTCATCCTGTTAGGCGAGATACGAGCCCTACAGCCCTACCCAATGGCTTGTCAGCCATGTCCACTGTATTTGGGCACAGTTTCTTTGGACCGGTTCTGTGGTCTCCACCGCCTTAGACGGCCGACCCGCTCTCTGTGGTGGGCGTGTCTCTTTCGGACGTCGTCCAGCGGTTCTGGGAAATTGAGGAGCCACCACACGCGTCTCGAGTCAACCCTCTGGATCGTGAGTGCGAGTTGTTCTACCAGAACAATACCGGTCGCCGTGTCGACGGTCGTTTTGTCACCCGCTTACCCTTTCTTGACTCACGGTCTCCTTTGGGCCAATCTCGTACTCTGGACGAAAAGAGGTTGCTTTCTATGGAGCGCCGTATGCGGCGCGACCCAGCCTTTCGCGACAAGTATGTCGAGTTCATGCGCGAGTATCAAGAGCTGGGTCACATGTCACCGTCCCACTTCGACTGGCGGTCACAGGAGCACTACTTCCTCCCCCACCATGCGGTCTTGAGGACCCCTGGGAGTAAGATTCGGGTAGTTTTTGACAGCTCCGCCCCCTCGTCAAATGGTGTGTCCCTGAACCAGTGTCTCCACTCTGGTCCTAAATTGATCAAGGACATATTTTTGACCCACTTCCGTCGTCACCAAGTTGTAGCCAACATTCGGATGATGTTTCGACAAGCAGTGGTCCATCGTGATGACCGTCGATATCAGCTGATATTGTGGCGCGAGAAGCCCAGCGATCCGATATAAGTGTTTGAGTTGAACACCACCACCTATGGACTCCGGTCCAGCCCGTATATCGCCATGCGAACCCTCCTCGAACTCGCTGAGAGAGAGCGTCTAAGATACGCTCGGGGGGCTTCTATTTTGGAGACTTCGGTCTACATGGACGATATTTGCACGGGCGCCTCCACCGTCGAGGAGGCTCTTGTATTGCGAGACGAATTGATTGCCATCCTGAAGTCAGAAGGTTATGAGTTGCGCAAATAGTTGTCGAACTCCCTTCATATTTTGAAGGACCTCTCAGGAGAGGATCAACAAGACCCTCATCTATTCGAGCACCCTGACAATCCTAATTTATTGACTGTGCTGGGCATTCAATATCAGCCTGTTCAGGATACCTTTACGTATCGAGTCAAACTCGATCCCAAACCTAAATCATGGACCAAGCGCTGTCGACTGTAGCCCGCACCTTCGATCCTAATGGATGGATCACTCCGGTAATTTTTTTGGCTAAGTGCTTTCTTCAAAAGCTCTGGATATCCGGGTTGGGTTGGGACGACCCTATAAGCGGTGCTCTCTTGCGAGAGTGGCTCTCCATTGTGTCCTCCCTTCCGGACATCAACCGGGTCTCCATGCCAAGGTGCTTCCTCCCTCCAGGGAAATGCAGGGCTTCCCTGCATGGATTTTGCGACGCCTCTGAGAAGGGCTATGCTGCTGTCGTATATTTGCGGACTGTGAGCTCTTCTGGCCATACTTCCGTCCATCTCTTACTTGCTAAAAGCAAGGTTGCTCCCATTAGGTCTCGCTTAACTATCCCTAAATTGGAACTGTCCGGAGCCGCTATTCTCACGCGACTCTTCAACCACGTTCACTCTGCCTTGAAGTCTGTCATCGACATTACGGACGTCTACGCTTGGTCGGACAGTGAGATAGTACTTTGTTGGCTCCGAGCTGCACCTCACAATCTTGAGGTCTTTGTGTCGAACCGCGTGTCTCAAATCCAGAATGCTGGCACGCCTCTAACCTGGAGAAATGTCCCAGGGGAGTCGAATCCCGCAGACTGCGCTTTTCGCGGCTGTGAAGCCCCCTCTTTGGTTGACCACTCGCTGTGGTGGGGGCCCAGTTGGTTGACAGAGTCTCAGTCGTTCTGGCCCCGGAATAAATACTCTAAACCGATTGGATTGGCGAGCGGTGAGTGGGCAGGGATAATCCCACTCGGGATTTCTCCTTGCTAGAACGGTATAGTTCCCTCGATAAGCTCTTAGGAGTGACTGCTTGGTTGCGTCGATTTGTCCGCAATTCGAGAGACCCATCCAACCGAATCTCTGATTACGCTTTGTCCCCTAGCGAGCGGCGCGAAGCCTTGATGCATTGGACCCGTATGGTCCAAGCGGAGCATTTTGAACTCGTGATTGATACCTTGAAGCGGGGCTCCGTTGTCAAGGGCGCGCTGGCCCTCCTGAACCTCTTCCTGGACGACGCGGGCATGCTGCGCGTTGGCGGACGTTTGCCGTACGGGGCTCGATACCCGCTTCTGCTCCCCAAGGACGGCGCCTTTGTTCGGTTGCTGGTAACTCACCACCATGTTCAGAATGCCCATGCTGGGTGTAACGCTCTTTCGGCTATTTTGCAGCGGGAGTTTTGGATTTTGGCTGGCCGACGCACCATTCGGAGCGTCATCTTTAAGTGCATATCTTGTTATAAATTGAAGGCCCCCATATCACAGCCGATGATGAGTGACTTACCACCCGACCGCGTCAGTGCCATCTGACCATTCGCTGGAGTAGGAACCGACTTTGCTGGCCCCTTCTTTGTCAAGTCCTCCAACCTTCGTAATGCGCGTTCGCATAAGGCCTATCTGTGCGTTTTCGTGTGCCTCTCCACTAAGGCCGTTCACTTAAAACTTGTAAGTGCCCTCAGCACTGAAGCCTTTGTGGCCACGCTGAGCCGCTTCGTATTGCGTTGCGGTTTACCGGACCTGATCCGGTCGGATTGCGGAACGAATTATAAGGGCACGGATAGATATTTGAAGGAGGTCGTCGAATTTCTGTCCAGCAATAGGACTTATTTAGCTACTGCGATGTCCAAGAATGTGCATGTGGAAATGTGACCCTCTGGCTTGGGGGGGACCACACTGGGTCGGTATTTTTGAGGCGGTGGTTAAGGTTGCAAAAACGCGTCTCCGTCGCGTTATTGGTAAAACTATTTTGATATTTGAGGAGCTTGCCACTGTATTCTGTAAAATTGAGGCGGTCCTCA